AATGTACTGACCCCAAACTTTTGAACGGTAGTGTATATTATTAGAAAATATTTCTATTTTAAATAAATGCTTTTTTCTTTTTCTTTTTATGCATCAAAGAATCCTGAAAAAATGTATCACAGGTTCCAAAAAAATATGAAGCAGCAACAGTTTCAACACTGATAATAAATCAGCATATTAGAATGATTTCTGAAGATCATGTGACACTGAAGACTGGAGTAATGATGCTGGAAATACAGTTTTGATCACAGGAATAAATTTGATTGTAATGTATATTACAATAGAAAAACATTTTACATAGTAATAATATTTCACAATATTACATTTTTTTCCCTGTATTTTTGATCAAATAAATGTAGCCTTGATGAACATAAGAGACTCCTGTAAAAAACATAAAAAATCGTTCTGATCCCAAACTTTTGACCAGTAGTGTATATATACACACACACACACACACACACACACACACATGATTACAGATCCAGTGCAGTGACTCCTGACCTGACCATGTGATTCCTACGATTTCAACTTCACAGGATCACGTGACCCCTCTCACCTGGGCGGCCTCGTACGTGATGGTCTTGGTTTCTGTGTGAACGATGGGAACCTCCTTAGTGGATATCTCCGTCTTCTGAGCAGCAAACGTGTCTGAAATCGTAACCATCTCAGTCTTCACAACAGGAGGCTACGGAGAGACAGAGGCCGTCAGTGTGACACACACACGTACAAGAGGCATCCGGTCTGACGTCACAAACACGCCACCACTGCTACACAGCACAACGCAGAGAGGAAGCTCATGCAGCTCAAAGAAACACCACTATAAACTAGACGTCTTTGGTATAACGCATGCAGCCTACAAACCGGAAAAAAAAAGCCAAAAAGTTTCCAAATGTCCCTGTGACGGTACATTAGTGCAGTTTTGGTTTCGTGATCTTTGGCAGTGTTTACAGGACGACACACACATGCAAAAACACAAAAACACAGCGCTGGGTGGATATGATATCAGATGTCAATATATTACGCTTTTATTTCTATCAATACTTAAGATGTGTGCTATTTATCTGTGCAATCAAATAATTTCAGAGGCATTATTGAAGTTTCTGCTGCTCTCTATCTCTACCAGCAGAGCGAAGAATCAATGTAAACGCACTTATCATATAATTATGATATCAAGTACACTAGATTAAACATGCACCACAAAGTTCCATGCAACGATACACGACATGCAGCGCACAAGATACAAGCCCCAGCATGCAGCGACTCAGAATATTGTGTTTATATATGTGTGTGTAGCGGAGTAGGATGGAATAAAAAAATCAACTTAAAAGGCGAGAGGATGGAAAGACAAACATTAAGACGCTTTCATTTATACTACAATCGCTTCCTTTAAAACAGGCTAGAGAGAGGTTTCAGCCTTGCGCAGATAAAGCAGGATCTTCGTCCAGGAAGGAGGAAGGAGTGGGAAATGGAAGAGGAGATGAGGAGAAGCGTAGGCGGCCGTCTCAGTTCGGGATGTCAATTACCTCCGAACAACAAATAACCTGCGGCAGGTGCTCTGTTTCGATGCGAGAGGCGCTGCCGTTCACGATGTGAGGCTCCTCCTCCTCGGCGGCAGCAGTTTGGGGAGTGGGCGGGGCTTCGCCTTGGGGGGCGTGTCCATTGGGAGCTTCGTCTGGCGTCAGCAGTGGCTCGTCTGTACGCTCTTCCTCATGAGGCTGTGCTGCTTTCTCTTCCTCCGCCGCAGGGCCGGGCTCAGCTGCTTCTGTGATTGGCTGTGACTCTACCGCAGAGGGCGGGGCTTGTTGAGTAAGCACCGCCTCCTGTTCCTCCTCGGGCTCTTCTTTGATCTGCTGGGTGGAGATGCTCGTGCTGGGCGGCTGAGCATGGTACTCCGCCTCCTCTTCGCTCTCGCTGTCCGACGATAAACTCCTCTCCTCCTTGACCTCCGTCTCCACGGTAACCGGCGCCTCAGGGGCGGGGCTTTTGGGTTTGGCTTTGACGACTTCCTCGATGACAACGGTCTCTTCCATGACCTCTATGACCTCTGGCTGGTCGCTGACTTCGGGTTTGCCTTCTGCGCTCTACACCAGACAAGCACACAAACACACACGAGGGATGGAGAGAAAAGCAAAGAACATAAACCATGACCAAAGAACAAAAACTGAAGGAAACAAACTTCCTGCAGACCTTAGTCAAAGTCAATGTCACCGTAAAGCAAATAAAAACAAAGCTGTGACGTAGAGATGTACAGTCTGTTCAATGAGTGCAGTTTTGTGGACCTTGAAAATGCATTGAAATGTGTGATTCGCACTTGAGAAGCAGCAAAACAGTCTACAAGAATTACACCTTGTCTTGTCTGGTGCTTAAAACAAGAGGAAACAATTTTAGTTGTGAACAATCCGTATTACTTGCCCTGTCCAAATACCCACACTTGTGGTCTCTACACTTGACTACTTATATGACATATTTCCTGTATTTGGCCCAAGTGTTCAAGTGAGCATGAAGACCACGAGTGTGTGTTAAACTTTCCATTACCTGATGGGACACACTTATAGTGCTGTAAAAATGCAAGTGTTTGCAGGGCTTAATTTTTAGTTTCAATACTTTGCATTTTAAAATCAACTTCTAAATATCTGTTCAGTAGTCCCTATAACAGATGACAATTGACTTTGTGGTGCTTCTAATTAAGTGATAAAAAGCAGTTGCAACTGTTGTACAAAGTAAATATACTTGTCTTTGCACCAATAAAACGTGCAACACTTTGTTTTACTACCAAATTATTTGTAATATCTAATTATTATTAATACTTAATAGGGCTGTCAAAAAAAAAAAATTTGAATTTCGAATATTCATCTAATTTAAAATAAAAATCCACAATTTTAGGTGTGCGTCAGACAGCCTTATCAGCGAGATGCAATGACGATATAAGTGTCACTGCATTATAATATTTTTGTCAGCCTATCCAGTTGAAGCCACTAGATGCGGTGCTGCTGCGTTGTTCATTAAAAATATTGCGTTAAAAGAGAACATCAATGCAGAGAAGATCTTGTTTACGTTTTGTTTTGATCAAAACTAAAACCAAGCCGTTTACACAGAATGCATATTTCACGCATTTTCTAGAGGGACATCTATCACCATTGCACTCGCGTCTTGCACAAAAGAGCCGCATGTTTAGAAAGCCATGTAAAATTAATGCAAGTTTAAAACATATCGGAGATAAGCCAAAAGCTTTTCTTCACCCTAACTGAAATTATGCATTTTAAATTTGAATATAATTTGAATTTTAATAATATTTAAGTACAAAATTCGAATTTAGTTTTTCAGCCATTTTGACAGCCCTAATATTTAACTTACACCGGAAAGGTTTTTGTGACTTATCGCGAGATCTCGGCAAAAAGTCTGACGATTTATTTCCAGAACATGATGCATGATGGGATACACTAAGGCTCGAGATGGATTTAGTGTGCGTTAAGGGCACTGGTGCACGCGTTCTCAAGTGGCCAAGACCGCAAGTGTGGGTATTTGGACAGGGCATCTGTATTACATACACATTCGTCTCTCAATTAAATGTGCCGTCTTGTGAGGACCTTTAGATAGTTTTCTTTAAACAAGATAAAACTACTGAGTAAGCATCCGATTGAACACACTGTACATCTTTCCCTCACAGCACTGCTCTCATTTGTGCCGAATCAAACATGGCATCTCCTCCGACTAAGGTCCATAAACACTGCAACACCACACACATACAATCAACAAGCAACATAACGAGAAAAGCCGCATGTAAAGCCATGTAAAATTAATGCAAGTTTAAAACATATATCAAGACTTTATGGCGGGTTTTTTTCCCACCCCACTGTAACTCATGTTTTTAAATGAAAAATGTACTCTGTGTGATTGGCTTTCGGTCCTTTGTATTAAACGATGCATACATGCATGATGCGGTTTTGTTTATAGTCGTCTCTCAATTAAATGTGCCGTCTTGTGAGGACCTTTAGATAGTTTTCTTTAAACAAGATAAAACTACTGAGTAAGCATCCGATTGAACACACTGTACATCTTTCCCTCACAGCACTGCTCTCATTTGTGCCGAATCAAACATGGCATCTCCTCCGACTAAGGTCCATAAACACTGCAACACCACACACATACAATCAACAAGCAACATAACGAGAAAGAGAGACAATCATAACAAGCTGAAAGATGAATGAATGCATGGACAAAAAGATGGATGCTCAATCTGGTGAAGAGGGCTAGAGTCATGATGTCTGCAATGGAAAAAGGATGAGATGTGTGTGCAGTGTTAGGTGTGCGTTTGCTCAGGTGATGTTAGGTGTTAGGCTGAGCGAGGACGATGGACCACCTTGCTGGCGTCTCTGATGTCCGTCTCAGGACGGGGAGGGGTTTTCTGTGAAACCTGGAGGTAATCATAGGACACAGTCACTCAAACACACGCTCTCAGAGGAGTCCTTCACGGGACGAGACCTGCCTGTGTGACCCGATCACAGGAGATGCATTTGAGACATGTGTCCCAACTGACCGCTAGTGATCGGATGACCCGAGACAGCAGGGGTAAAGAGAGTTAACGGGTTTGAGACGGTGGACGGGACAGCAGTGATGCTAGTGAACAGAAACATCACAAACACACACAAAACAAGACGTTTCTCTCTCTCTCTCTCACACACACACACACACACACACACGATGGCAGAGATGGAAATGATTTGCTAGTTATGTTGTTACTGGATGTTTATGACCAGTCCAGCAGTGAAACCCTCTAGAGCTGTAGAAGAGCTGTGTACTGATGCATGCGTGTATAAATAGAGCTGTAGCTCTCAAGTCTCATTCATATTGTGGCATATAATGACCGTGTTTTGATTTTGATTTTCAACACTGATAATAATCAGAAATGTTTCTTGAGCAGCAAATCAGCATATTAGAATGATTTCTGAAGATCATGTGACTGGACTGAAGACTGGAGTAATGATGCTGAAAATACAGCTGCGCATCACAGAAATAAATTACATTTAAATAGCTGAAAATAGCTGTTTTAAGTCATAATAATATTTCACAATTTTTACTGTATTTTTAATCAAATAAATGCAGCCGACCCCATACATTTGAACAGCAGTACATTATTTCTATATGTGCACACACACACAGTGTTTCTTCACACATCAGCGAGGGCTGGATCAATACCGACTGCCAGATCTGAGCATGAACTTGGTTTGCTTTAAAGAGGTGCAGACATGTGGCAGTAGAGAATATAAAGCTGTAAGCAGCTGCATGAAGACAGAAAGCCAGAGCAGGCCAGATGAAGAGACAGACAGAAGCGGTAACGGCTGAGACTTCACTGGCCTCTGCTGGAGCAGCAGCAGTACTGCAGGAGCCAGCCAGCCCAGAGAAGCATGCCTTACTCAGAAAGAGAGAGGTGAGCTCCTCTTCCAGACTCTACAGGGGTTGTGCAAAGGGCAAGACATGAAACGAGCAGGTGCAAGGACAACAACAGACACAGAAACAGAAAAAACAAGAGAGAGAGAAACACAAAAGCACATCAGTGATTCTACAGAGTGAGGAGAGAACAGCTACTAACACAACATGCACACACAAACACACACTACAGGAATAGCAGTAAAGCATTTTAACATGAACAGAGCACAGGGCATGTGTGCGAACAACAGTGTTTGTAACCCAGAAACAGTGTTCAACGGGTGACGGCATCAAGAAACGGGTGCAAATAAAATGCAAAAATCACTCGCACACAAACACACACGTGCAAAAATGTGCAATATAGTCTGACAGGAGCTGATCATTTACACTGACTGATAAAAGAGTAACTTTAAAACATACAAATAAACAGAGGGAGCATGTGCGCAGCTGAAAGAGACAACGTGACTGCAACTGAGCAAACCTAAACAATGAGAGAAGCATTCTGCTAGAAAACGCAAAATATTCATGAGCAGTGAGGAAACCAAAGGACAGACTGAGCAAACGTACAGCATGAACAACAGAACTCAAAGAGCCAATCAGAGTGAACAGATGCACCAATCAGATTGAGAACTGCCCCGCCATTGGCTGGTGTAGAGGACAGGAGGTGTGCGTGTGTGTGAGACAGTTGGGATTGTGGGTCGTCTTCTTAAATCTACTTCGACTCAAGCAGACAATAGTGCATTGTGACGTCAGGAGTGACAGGTGCTAGCGAGGCATCTCAGAGGCACTGAAGTCGCTCGCCATTTCTAGTCATAACAGTGGGGAAAGAACGAACGGTCCAAAAGTGTTTGTCAAGATGTTGTTTCAAAACACATTTCAAAACAGGAATAAAATCTGATTTTGTTTTGCTCAAGCAAATAATTTTTTTTTTTTTTTAAGCTCAATGTGTTTTTGGAAAACCCTACAGCAAGTTGAATGACTACTCGCGATTCATAAGTTTTCAACTCAATTTTTGCAAATTCAGACCAATGCAATCAGATTCACAATGAGATTCAATTTAATTTTGAATAATGATTTGATTCCGGGTTTTTCTAACTGCATTCATATAGTAGATATGAATGCTTCTCCTAATGCGTTTTAAGTAATAAAAAGAGTAAACGCATTAAATATGTGTCCGTACGGGCTACTTAGAATAGAACAAAGAGTGCAATGTTCTGATAAAATATTTTTTTAGAGCTGAGAACACCTTGCAAACCATTCCATACTCCAGATTTTTTTTTTTAAAGACTGAAACAAACGGGTCACAATTCAAAAATCCAGGGTTTAAGATCAATGTGATATGTGACCCTGGACTACAAAACCAGTCATAAGGGTACATTTTTTGAAATTAAGGTTTGATGTATGGTTTGTTAGGATCAGACAATATTTGGTTGAGATACAACTATTTGAAAATCTGGAATCTGAGGGTGCAAAAAAATCTAAATATTGAGAAAATCATCTTTAAAGTTGTTCAAATGAAGTTCTTAGCAATGCATATTACTAATCACAAATTAAGTTTTGATATATTTACAGTAGGATATTTACAAAATATCTTCATGGAACATGATCTTTACTTAATGTCCTAATGATTTTTGGCATAAAAGAAAAATTTATAATTTTGACCCATACAATGTATTGTTGGTTATTGCTACTTAAGACTGCTTTTGTGCTCCAGGGTCACATAAATGCATTGGCAGGATTTGTAAATGATGCATTGACAAAAATAAGTGAATCGTTACACCCCTTTATTCAATGGAATATTAAAAGACACTTATTGACGCAATATTTTCCCAACTGTCCCACAGTGCAACAGAAAACACCCAGAGTAAACCAGCTTCTCAGCAGAGCAGAGTAAGAGGGGCATGCAGAGCATCTGAGGAGGCGTCCGAATCCCGAGCACAAGCACACGTACCCCATGAGCCTGCAGGCGCAGGGAGGTGGCAGGGCTGCCCGTCAGGCGCTTGTCCCACTGACTGGGCCTGGGCTCAGGCGTAGCCTCCATAAAACTGCGCTTGAGCTCGCTAATGCTAGCCTGATGCTTCAACACATCCTCCTGGGTCTTATCCAAGTCCTTATCCAAGAGGCAGGCAGGGGAGGACAAAGGGACAACCAACAACCAGCACATTAGTCATGGAGAGAGCGGAGTCACGTTAGAGTCGAACCTCACTGCTCGCCTGACGCACCCCAGCGGACGACGATGTTAAAACCTGGAGTCCTGAGCTCCGTTCAAAGACCCAGCGGTTCTCTGACTCACTTCTGACACCAGAGCAGCTCCAAAAGGGAGTTAATATTTTGTGTGCACTCATGATGTTAACAGGAGGCTGCTAGGAAGCTCACTAGATTTGGACCAGAGCTGTCAGGTTCTGGAACATCTTTCAATAACTAATGATGTCCAGCGTTATTGCTTCAGCAATAATTTGACACAAAAGAAAATGAGGTTGTGAGGGACAGAAATACACACTGGTAAGGCCCTGATATACGTGAAAATGAAGAACGAATGGGGTGTGACATCATTACAAACAAAATCTGGTTCATCTGGAGTTTGTTTCGATGAATCCAAACATTTCGCCAGAGCAAATTTCTGAAACTCCAAACAAACTTTGTTTAAGCCAGATTTAATTGGAAATGAAGTCACACATTCGTTCACCCATTCACTCTTCTGTTCTAATGGTGTAACATCATTTTGAATAAAACTGGCTAAAACAAAATTCGTCTGGAGTTTCTTTCAGTGGTTCCACGCAGCTCGCCAGTGCATACTTTCAAGTCTCCAAAACAAACTCCAAACAAACTTTAATTAACCAGATTTTATTCAAAATTACGACACCCATTTTTTTTCTAGGGATGCACGATATTATCGGAACATTATCGGAATCGGCCATAAAAGGTTTAAAATGTAAACATCAGCATCGGCCGATTTGAAAAAAATATATGCCGATATGCTTTGCCGATAAGACGAATATCTCACATGTGCTCGGTGTGTGATAGTGATAGCAGTGTGCTCATTCTTGAAGCGAACTTTTACCTGAATGATTATTCGATTCAATGTTTTGCATCGCCACATTTAATTGGAGAATGCATGAACAGAATGAGGTGTCCCCCGGGTCCTAATGCCCTTTATTTACTTAGTAAAATGAAAGTAAAGTACACAAATCTCATTAAGATACTTGTGTTTCAGAAGAAATAAAGCAGTATCACAGTATATCGCAGTAAAAAAAAAATCACAAACATGGCACTTGTAATTTAAATAATTGAATATATACAGGTTTATTTACTAATATGTCATATATTTTTCAAATGCATTATGAAAACTTAAATATAAGGAGCTCTAAATTTTTTTTAATAGAATTTTTATAGCTCTTTTTCCTTAGACCGTCTATTAATGTTAAATCCACAAATAAAATGTTAAGGTTTTAACTGCATCTGTCTGAGAAAAAAAAACAAAAAAGAGCAGAGATTGATTTTATTACAGTTATTTTCAAGGCTTTCAATGTACTCTCATTGAAAAAAGAACTTTAATAAAGTTTATTACTCATAACAAATAAGTTTTTGCTCAAAACTAACCAATATTAAAAATGATTTGTTTATAATTTCTGCACAGGAGAGACTTGGTGGTGTTTCAAAACAAAGAGAAAAATATATCGGTATCGGCCAAATGATTTGAAAAATATTGGCACATCGGCAAAAATCTAATATCGTGCAACCCTAATTTTTTTTATTGGTGAACTGTTACAAACCACCAAAACAAACTTTGTTTCGGTGAGCTTGCCTTTGAAATTCCATCACACATTCGTTCAGCCATTCGTTCTTCAGTTCTAATGGGTGTAACATCATTTCTGAATTAATCTGGCTAAATCAAAGTTCGTTTGGAGCTTGTTTTGGTGGTTTCGTATAGTTTGCCACTGTAGATTTTTCAGAAAACTTTCAAGGAAACTAATCGCAAGCAGTATATGGTTGCTCAGGTTTTTCAAACTTACTTGAACTTTTTTAATGAAAAACAACTTTGGAGTAAGTATAACAGAATCTTTACATCTTGTACATCCAGGTGTTCATAGTCATAGTCCAACTGACAGAACATTGCAGAGCTTTTGTGGAAAGATGCATTTTCAGTCAACAAATTGTAGATGCTAAAAATGAGCTCAGGGCCTTAAAACAGTACTATTGCTCTGACTGTACGTCTGTCCCTCATTGACTCAATTTCAATCATATCCAGTGAAATAAGCTGCCTACTTAAACCCTCAAACCCTACGGTCATCATCCTGAATAAGATCAATCAGTCTTCCACATCTGAAGGACCCTGGCAATCCCAGTATAGGTTTGGTTCTGGTGAACCGGTGGGATTACGAGGGTCAGGTGACAGGTCAGAGGTCAGCGTCTGTGGGGAGCAGTGAGGCAGGACTTGTTTACACACTGAGGACTGGAGCGGTGCAGTGAGACACTGCTTCAGAGCCAAAGACACACAACTGCTTCTGAGACACCAGACACTGAGTGCACACTCATCTAAAGCTGAAGAGCGTCGTAATGAGAAAACACTTCCTCTTGTTCCAGTTTAACATGTAGAGAATACGAAGTCATCAGTAGGCTGACACTGTCATTGATCTGTTTGCATTTTATCAGGACCGCTTTTTTGACTCCTTATCTGCCAGAAGGAATGAAAAATGCAAAGTAACTACCGTATTGGCCCGAATATAAGACGACCCTGATTATAAGACGACCCCCCTTTTTCCAGATGTACCTTTTGGAAAAATGCTTTTTAAAAACCAAATCTTGTTTTTTCTCAGTAAAACACATTTTGTCTTCAATTATTATCATTATATTATCATATATATACCTATTTTAATTTTTGTTTTGAAAGTATGATAAAAACTGGTAAAATGTACCAACAAATCACATTTAAAAAATATACACTTTTTGATATACCATAAAAAAACGGGACAATACGGTATTTACTACTAGTAAACCAAATCCTGTCTGTGTCTGTCTCAGGGCTCGTGAGCCGGGTGTCTTTGGCACTGACAGGGTCACCCCAGGATGAGTAAATCTATTTAGTTGTAAAATCAAACGTAAACAATCACCACAACCAAAGCAGAAAGTCATCTGTCTGGTTAGGGAAATACTATTAGTGTTGTTATGAGAACCATTCCCACATGACATTTACACAAACGTTAAAAACACCACGTATCACGTACATTCAGTTCACCCGCAGACATGCACCCGCTTTAACATGCAGCCCACACACACACACGCACACACTAATGCATGCACACAAAGCCTGAAAGAGGAAGAGTGAGAGGCAGCCCAGGACAGTAGCCAGAGAGGGGACACATGTCCACCATCCATTATGCTTTTGCTCTTTCTTTGTTTCTTTTTCATTGATTACATACGACATACGAACCTCCAACATTAAATTGCTATGCCTGACATATATATTTTCCCCCTGCACTCTCAACTTGCTCTGTGGATTAAAAATGAGAACACATTTGAACAAAAAGGAAAAAGACAGATGGTAATGAACTGGAGTCAAATCAGATGAACATCTCTGATGAGGAGAAAATGTTGCATAATGGAACATGAAAGTCTGAGAGCACCAGCGAAAATGCTTCTACTATGCAATTTTCATTGCAAATTATATTATCAGCATATCAGTTTGAGTGTTGAACTGAAAACGTTCTTGAATTTAAGCCAGCGACTTCCAGCTTTAAATTGATCTTCAATCTCAAATTCCTAATGTGCTCTCAGACTTTCTGATGTGACTGTAGGCTGATCCAGTTTGGTTCATACATGACACTACTGATTTCCTGATCTGTATCAGGGTTCTTGGAAGTAACCAACCAACAGGCAAATCAGCATCTGATCACAAGTCATCAATCTAGTGCTGCTTAGCCAATCAATCAGCAAATTACTCCAGAGAGCTCATGATTTGAGCCTCATTTGCAGTTGTAATTACAGAAAAAGCACAGGATAACAGCAAATAAAAACAATCAACCATCACCACAGCAAAGAAAGCCAAGATTCCACATCATCAAACAACCATGATGCAAGAACCCCATCACTTTCAATTGGACAAAAACATGAAATTAAAAAAGACAATGAATTACAACAATTTGCATCTCAAACAAAAGTGAAAGACCTTTCTCTCAGGAGCGCCAGCGCCATCCGTCTGCTCGTGCCGCCGGAGATAAAAGATGAAGATTAGTTCAAAACATGTCCTACAATACCTCTGGACTGTGTGCTAATTATATGAATGTGATTACAGATGCATGCTGGGAAGGTTAGCAGACCTCAAAGGCCGTTTCAGTGCTGATGGATGTGGCTGCATCCGTGTTTGGCTTCTCCATGACCTCCACCTGTGGACTCTGATTGGTGGAATAATGGACAAAATAGTCTGAAAAGGTGAAATGGATGATGGGAAGGCCTGAATCCCCAATCAAAGAGATAAGGAGCGAGCCCTGAGCTCTGGGACAGGCTGGTCTGAGAGAGATGCTGCTTTTCCGTTTGAGACTCTTATAAAATACCTGAAGGACTATAATAAACTCCCCGCATGTCTACGTCACTGTGTGGGAAGATTTGCATACCGCCGAAATGTTTACGCAAAAGAAAGAAGGCGTAACTTTTATTCTCGCTGTAGTATTGTTGCCGTGGAGACGCTGTATGTTTCCAAATATGGTGAGGGGCGTAACATTTCCGTCACGCTTGAGGTATTTGGCCAATCACAACGCACTGGATAGCTGGCCAATCACAGCACAGCGTGCTTTTCAGAACGATGAGCTTTGTAAAAATGGACACGTTTCAGAAAGGCGGGGCATAGAGGAGTAACAACAATGTACGGTATGTGGAAAATAATAATTTTTTTAACCTTAAACCGCATAAACACATTGCATTACACCAAATTCACAAAATAATGTTATTTTTAGTATCGTCATATGACCCCTTTAAAGCTGGTTGAGTGGTTCGGGTCTAATAAATGCTTCAGCTGAAGTGGGGAAAGAGTTTTTTCAGACAGGACGTGGACTATAAATAGAGTCCCACTGGAATGCTGCTGATTTACACAGCTACAATCTGAGCGCAGGGACTAATCTGCATTTCACACTGAAAATCTGGCACTGGAAGTTGGAGCGGGAGAAAGAGCTATAGAGGCGAACAGCGACAAAATGCACACAGTAGCGATTAGGGGGTAGGCAGACAGGGAGACAGGAACAGGGAGGTCAGGGGTCAGTTTAGGCGGCGGGGTCACACTGCATTTCCTCTGGAGAGCTCGTCTCAGCCGTGACCTCCGCCGGCCTGAAGCGCGCGAGTGTTTTCGGCTCCAGGTAGCACAGGGACAGGGCCAGAGGTAGCGCCAGCAGCAGAGACAGCGCTACCGACTGGCAGGCGGAGAGGACGACGGCGAAGATGAGCAGGAAGGAGGGCAGGAGGGAAGAGGAGGTGAGGGGCAGGTGATGGTGCAGTCCTGCAGGGAGCAGCAGAGTGGCGCAGTCCTCCGGCAGACAGGGCAGACTGATGCAGCCATCCTCGTCCAGCAGCCAGGGCAGACACAGACCCCTGCAGAAGCTGAGCACAGACACACCCAGCCGGGGCAGAGCGAAGCGGGGCTCTTCGGACAAACCCTCGCCGCTGCTGGAGTCTTTGGCCGGCCAGCTCACAGCCTCAGAGTCCGGCTCGAGGTGGAGGTCAGGCTCGTCCTCAGAGATGTCAGACAACACATCCAGCTCAGAGATGGTGTCGAGGGTCGGCGGGAGGGAGGAGAGAGTGGAGGAGGACGGGGAGAATGGGAACATGAAGAGAGACTGCGTGGGTGCAACGACAGAATGCAACGGAAGAGGAATGGATGCATGGCAAAAAGACATGGTGGAGTGCGCGGGGAAAGAGAAGGGGAGAGAGAAACACAACATTAGTCAGTGAGCCGAGCCGAGTCGAGGTCGGGGTGTGAGGGATGACACATTAGGAAAGACTCTGGTATTTAGGGGTGTGCTAGCGTGTGTGTGGGCAAGTGTTAGACAACATAAGCTGGCAGAGTGTTGGTGCAGAAGCTCAGGAGGAGAGAGGAGGGCGTTTTCACACCAGGCTGTGGAGTCCAATCGATCTCAATTCAGTTTCTTCAGTGGCCATGAAAGAGATTCTCAATGAGAGCCCATTCACACCAAGGACGAGAACTATAAAGATAACGGTAAAGTTCTAAAAATCGTTCTCAATATTAAAGGTCCTCTGAAGTGCCTTGAAACACTTAGTGTGTGTGTGGGTCTTATAGATAACCTTAAAACTAACCTATTGATACTAACACCCAAAAAACTTTAATTTTGATTTCATGGGGACTTTAAAGAATAGCAGAGTCCACACCACAACTATAACGATAAAGGCACAGAGAAACAATATCGTTGGAATCACTTTCAAAACATTTTTTTTCCAGCTGATGAATGATAAAAACACTGATACCAAATCAGAATCAATCCTGATCTCACAAGCTCGAGAATTTAAAGCGGCAGACGAGCGTGCGCTTAGAATAAATAGACGATATTGTCCGCTGGTGTGGACGCTAATATCATTATCTTTATAGTTATCGTTCTTGGTGTGAACGGGCCTTAAGAGTGTCTGGGGTATGGCTCACTGTTGGTTTAAAAGCTGGACTAATTTGTGGAAGTAAACAACAATTGACAGTGCATTATTTTAGCATAAAAATATTGTCGGCGCCGATAAGCCTTGTGGGCAGCGTGCCAACATACAGCGCAGTTGCGCTACGGGCGTCCCAAGTTTGAATCCCGACTCAAGGACCTTTCCCGATCCCACTCCCCTATCTCTTTCCCTATTAGTTCTGATCTGTCCTGTCATAATAAAGGCAAAAATGCCAAAAATAAATCTTATATATATATATACAGTACATATATATATATATATATATATATATATATATATATATATAAAACGAAACAAGTGTCTCAGACCCAATACTTCCCTTCTTTCATCAATTTCTGGCTATTGCGCCGGTACACGGACGGAATCACAGCATGGTAAGGGGCGTAACATTTCCGTCACACGCTTGAGGCATTCGGCCAATCACAACACACTGAATAGCTGGCCAATCAGCGTACACCTCGCTTTTCAGACCGATGAACTTTGTAAAAATCGACGCGTTTCAGAAAAGCGGGGCATAGAGGACAAACAATAATTTTTTTAACCTTAAACCGCATAAACACATTGCATTACACCAAATACACAACATAATGTTCTTTTTAGCAACGTCATATGACCCCGTTAAATGCCACGAAACAAGTGTCTCAGACCCAATACTTCCCTTCTTTCATCAATTTCTGGCTATTGCGCCGGTACACGGACGGAATCACAGCATGGTAAGGGGCGTAACATTTCCGTCACACGCTTGAGGCATTCGGCCAATCACAACACACTGAATAGCTGGCCAATCAGCGTACACCTCGCTTTTCAGACCGATGAACTTTGTAAAAATCGACGCGTTTCAGAAAAGCGGGGCATAGAGGACAAACAATAATTTTTTTAACCTTAAACCGCATAAACACATTGCATTACACCAAATACACAACATAATGTTCTTTTTAGCAACGTCATATGACCCCGTTAAATGCCACGAAACAAGTGTCTCAGACCCAATACTTCCCTTCTTTCATCAATTTCTGGCTATTGCGCCGGTACACGGACGGAATCACAGCATGGTAAGGGGCGTAACATTTCCGTCACACGCTTGAGGCATTCGGCCAATCACAACACACTGAATAGCTGGCCAATCAGCGTACACCTCGCTTTTCAGACCGATGAACTTTGTAAAAATCGACGCGTTTCAGAAAAGCGGGGCATAGAGGACAAACAATAATTTTTTTAACCTTAAACCGCATAAACACATTGCATTACACCAAATACACAACATAATGTTCTTTTTAGCAACGTCATATGACCCCGTTAAATGCCACGAAACAAGTGTCTCAGACCCAATACTTCCCTTCTTTCATCAATTTCTGGCTATTGCGCCGGTACACGGACGGAATCACAGCATGGTAAGGGGCGTAACATTTCCGTCACACGCTTGAGGCATTCGGCCAATCACAACACACTGAATAGCTGGCCAATCAGCGTACACCTCGCTTTTCAGACCGATGAACTTTGTAAAAATCGACGCGTTTCAGAAAAGCGGGGCATAGAGGACAAACAATAATTTTTTTAACCTTAAACCGCATAAACACATTGCATTACACCAAATACACAACATAATGTTCTTTTTAGCAACGTCATATGACCCCGTTAAATGCCACGAAACAAGTGTCTCAGACCCAATACTTCCCTTCTTTCATCAATTTCTGGCTATTGCGCCGGTACACGGACGGAATCACAGCATGGTAAGGGGCGTAACATTTCCGTCACACGCTTGAGGCATTCGGCCAATCACAACACACTGAATAGCTGGCCAATCAGCGTACACCTCGCTTTTCAGACCGATGAACTTTGTAAAAATCGACGCGTTTCAGAAAAGCGGGGCATAGAGGACAAACAATAATTTTTTTAACCTTAAACCGCATAAACACATTGCATTACACCAAATACACAACATAATGTTCTTTTTAGCAACGTCATATGACCCCGTTAAATGCCACGAAACAAGTGTCTCAGACCCAATACTTCCCTTCTTTCATCAATTTCTGGCTATTGCGCCGGTACACGGACGGAATCACAGCATGGTAAGGGGCGTAACATTTCCGTCACACGCTTGAGGTTTTCGGCCAATCACAACGCACTGGATAGCTGGCCAATCACAGCACAGCGTGCTTTTCAGAACGATGAGCTTTGTAAAAATGGACACGTTTCAGAAAGGCGGGGCATAGAGGAGTAACAACAATGTACGGTATGTGGAAAATAATAATTTTTTTAACCTTAAACCGCATAAACACATTGCATTACACCAAATTCACAAAATAATGTTATTTTTAGTATCGTCATATGACCCCTTTAAAGCTGGTTGAGTGGTTCGGGTCTAATAAATGCTTCAGCTGAAGTGGGGAAAGAGTTTTTTCAGACAGGACGTGGACTATAAATAGAGTCCCACTGGAATGCTGCTGATTTACACAGCTACAATCTGAGCGCAGGGACTAATCTGCATTTCACACTGAAAATCTGGCACTGGAAGTTGGAGCGGGAGAAAGAGCTATAGAGGCGAACAGCGACAAAATGCACACAGTAGCGATTAGGGGGTAGGCAGACAGGGAGACAGGAACAGGGAGGTCAGGGGTCAGTTTAGGCGGCGGGGTCACACTGCATTTCCTCTGGAGAGCTCGTCTCAGCCGTGACCTCCGCCGGCCTGAAGCGCGCGAGTGTTTTCGGCTCCAGGTAGCACAGGGACAGGGCCAGAGGTAGCGCCAGCAGCAGAGACAGCGCTACCGACTGGCAGGCGGAGAGGACGACGGCGAAGATGAGCAGGAAGGAGGGCAGGAGGGAAGAGGAGGTGAGGGGCAGGTGATGGTGCAGTCCTGCAGGGAGCAGCAGAGTGGCGCAGTCCTCCGGCAGACAGGGCAGACTGATGCAGCCATCCTCGTCCAGCAGCCAGGGCAGACACAGACCCCTGCAGAAGCTGAGCACAGACACACCCAGCCGGGGCAGAGCGAAGCGGGGCTCTTCGGACAAACCCTCGCCGCTGCTGGAGTCTTTGGCCGGCCAGCTCACAGCCTCAGAGTCCGGCTCGAGGTGGAGGTCAGGCTCGTCCTCAGAGATGTCAGACAACACATCCAGCTCAGAGATGGTGTCGAGGGTCGGCGGGAGGGAGGAGAGAGTGGAGGAGGACGGGGAGAATGGGAACATGAAGAGAGACTGCGTGGGTGCAACGACAGAATGCAACGGAAGAGGAATGGATGCATGGCAAAAAGACATGGTGGAGTGCGCGGGGAAAGAGAAGGGGAGAGAGAAACACAACATTAGTCAGTGAGCCGAGCCGAGTCGAGGTCGGGGTGTGAGGGATGACACATTAGGAAAGACTCTGGTATTTAGGGGTGTGCTAGCGTGTGTGTGGGCAAGTGTTAGACAACATAAGCTGGCAGAGTGTTGGTGCAGAAGCTCAGGAGGAGAGAGGAGGGCGTTTTCACACCAGGCTGTGGAGTCCAATCGATCTCAATTCAGTTTCTTCAGTGGCCATGAAAGAGATTCTCAATGAGAGCCCATTCACACCAAGGACGAGAACTATAAAGATAACGGTAAAGTTCTAAAAATCGTTCTCAATATTAAAGGTCCTCTGAAGTGCCTTGAAACACTTAGTGTGTGTGTGGGTCTTATAGATAACCTTAAAACTAACCTATTGATACTAACACCCAAAAAACTTTAATTTTGATTTCATGGGGACTTTAAAGAATAGCAGAGTCCACACCACAACTATAACGATAAAGGCACAGAGAAACAATATCGTTGGAATCACTTTCAAAACATTTTTTTTCCAGCTGATGAATGATAAAAACACTGATACCAAATCAGAATCAATCCTGATCTCACAAGCTCGAGAATTTAAAGCGGCAGACGAGCGTGCGCTTAGAATAAATAGACGATATTGTCCGCTGGTGTGGACGCTAATATCATTATCTTTATAGTTATCGTTCTTGGTGTGAACGGGCCTTAAGAGTGTCTGGGGTATGGCTCACTGTTGGTTTAAAAGCTGGACTAATTTGTGGAAGTAAACAACAATTGACAGTGCATTATTTTAGCATAAAAATATTGTCGGCGCCGATAAGCCTTGTGGGCAGCGTGCCAACATACAGCGCAGTTGCGCTACGGGCGTCCCAAGTTTGAATCCCGACTCAAGGACCTTTCCCGATCCCACTCCCCTATCTCTTTCCCTATTAGTTCTGATCTGTCCTGTCATAATAAAGGCAAAAATGCCAAAAATAAATCTTATATATATATATACAGTACATATATATATATATATATATAAACTTTCAGTAATATTAGCAATTTAACTGCATTGCCACTATCAGATGATGAAATTTAAACTGAGCTGATTTATGACACTATTGTCTTCTGTTGAGCTGCTTTATAACTGAATTGAACTTGTTTCATGATTGACTCCCCAACACTGAAAGACTTACTGAACTGAATCAACATTGAATCTAAATTGAGCTGAATGACACTATTGTCTTCTGTAGAGCTGCTTCACAGCTAAAACTGAATGATAATTGATAAATTAAAAAAAAAAGTAACACTGTTATTTTCCTGTTTATTAATGTGAAACAGTCTGTATTGTAGAATGTGAAATACATATCAAGCTGCTCATCTCCACAGAAAACGGTCTTTAGCGAGCAGCTTGCATTTGATGCATCTTTTGCAAGTCCACTGTGCTCAAAGTTTTGGTAGTAAAACCAATGGCATTAGGGACATTCTGGTACATTTCTGAGGTCACAAGTTGTCAGAATTCAACTGTTTTGGTTGGGAACCACATTCAAGTCTTTTTGGGTCTGGTTCATGTGAACTCTAGTGTAGTTCAGTCGGTATAAAAGTAATCTGGCCTAATTTGAACAAGTGAGCTGCAGAATTAATGATGTGATTAGAGGTTGACCGATGTATCGGTTTTGCCGATTAATCGGCTCGATAGTTGATTGCTGGAACCATCAGTTATCGGCAAAAATCCCTGCCGATAGTTTCCGGGTTGCGTCATTGCTGGAGCGGCTGAGAAGGGTCTGCTGTCATCATACAGAGCGAGAGCGGCCTCTAGAGGCGAATCACTGACACCTCCTGCTGTTTGTTTTGACATGGGAGGCTGCACAAAGTGGGAAAATTCAGACGCAGATTTAAATACGGCTGACAGAAAATCCTGCCATTCACATAGATCTCCATTAAATTACATTATATTTGTCCCAAATCATTGTTAATGTACATAATGACTTCACCCTAGGCTGTAAAATTGTGTATTGCGCATATTTCAGGGAAATAATTGTCTTTCTGTGGCTCTAATAAAGTCTGTATGCTTCATATAGAGAGCTGTAATATAGATAGCGCTTTCTCTTTCCGTTTTCTCTTTTTT